AACCTCCGAATTTTAATGATAAATTTTTTATCTTCTTTTTCAATTTTTAAACTAATATTTTCTTAAATCAAATTCTATTTTTTAAAACCGTTAAGAGTCATGATTAATTTGATAATTACTTGAACTTAATTCTTTGAGTTCAACGTTTAAATTTTGTTCATTGTTATTATTATGATAAAATTTGATTGTTTTTAAATATATTTTACACACATAAATGAAAGATTTTATAGAAGACATGTCTATCACTATGTGTATAACTAAGACTTGAACTTAACACTAATTGATCAGTTGATGAAATTCTGAATAGATACATGTTGTTGAACCCCGGATGATCAAATAGCAAGTCAACTGTGTATGACGATATACCAGTACACTCAACAAAGTGAAACAATGGCATGAATTAGTTGAACATGTTATAGAAGATCTCTTTGAAGTGGACCAGCTGCATTTGGGGACCCACCTCAGGATTTTATGCCATTTACATTCAGACAGGTAGGACCCTTTACACCATCCATTTCCCACAAAACATTAGAATTTCCCAACTCATTATAAAATTATATATATTCTAATCCATTCTTTAGAACAAAAGTGGAGAGATAGGATGGGAGAGAAAGACGAGATAATTAAAAGAAACCTTTTACATTATTTCATGACCTCTTCACAATCTTCATTATTAAACAAGTTGTGAACTAGAATTAAATCCTAAATTCATTATAAAACAAGTTGTGAACTATAATTAAATTGGATCCACTGATCTGGCATTATTGGCTCCCCTTAAAAGTAGTTTTTTCTAATTTATGCCAAACAGTTAAGCAATCTATGTCATGCTCTTGGAAGAGTGCCCACCAGTTCATCATGTTCAAATATTTAAAATTTTAAGCATGGGAAAGATCGAATTTCACAAATAGATAAATTAAATTAGCATCCCTTCCAACTCCCCCAACCAAAAATAAATGAAATAAAAAGGAACGGGACAATGTATCAATCACAATTATATTGGAATTTTTGAGAGTTTGTGTAATTGAGTTGTCGGTGATATCATATTAAATGAAATTTTAAACAAATTTAGATGAATTTATTTTTAAAGTGAACGCATCCTTCTTTATATATAAGGTACATATTTTCAGTCAAGTATTAATGAATTATTTTATATTTATATTTTATAAATATATATTTTTATCAAAATAACTCAATTATATTCATAATAAGTTTTTTATATATAAAAAGAAATTGTAATAAAATAAATAAATATTAATATTATTCTTTTTTAAAAAGAAAAAAACAAATTTTTAAAATGATTTAAATAAATTAACTTTAAATATTTAAAACATAAATAATATTTTTTTTATCAATATTAATTTATTATATTTAAACATATTCTCAATAAGTATATCAGTATATGATTGATTCACTTTTTTTTTCTTTCTATTTTTATAATTAATATAATTCATATCATATCTCAAAATTCATAACTAAAAATTAATATATACTAAAATGATTCATCTGCATTTGTAAATGAGTCAATTTTTTTAAGTCCGTATCTACGTCACATAACCTATAGTATAATGGGTTTGTTTGTTTTGCATAAGACAATACTTTAAAAAAAATCCAAAAAGATAAGTCCAAATTTATGTCACTCATTGATTTAATTTATACATATCAACGATAAGGAAAGCACTATGTGACTTGTTGATCCTCTGCAAAAATGTGTGAAAGTTACAAAACATTTGTTGTGCAGTGTGCAGTTTATTAAAGAGCAAAATAATTTGGGATATTTTTTAAATTAATAAAATTAAATTATTAAATTATGTTATACTAAAAAGAAGATCATAATAAATAAAATACAAAATCTTTTTAAAAAATATTTAATAAATATTACATTGTCTTTATATATTATTATAAATATAATAAACTAATTGAATTATGAAATTAGAATATTACACTAAAAAATAAGTGATCCCAAAATACTACTAACAGTTAGTTAATGAAGTTATTTCAATGTCACCATCAATTAGATGGTTCACATTTTGCGAATGCAGAGCGATATAATAGATAAAGGCCTCTTGCATATAAGTATTTTTAGAATTAAATAGATTATATAAAAAAAAAACATGTAATTTCAATAAAAGTGATAGATTCTTTTACACAATGTGAACATAATTTTAACAAATCTTTAAAAATATGTATTTTTTTCTTTTGAAAAACTTTTATGGTGTTTTTTATCATCAACAAAATACGGTCTCTAAAATTTTCACATTACACATCAATTAAAAAGCAAAACATACAACATAAAAGAAACTTTTATGTTGTTTTTTATCATCAACAAAATATGTTTTTTATGTTTCATTCTTTTTTATAAAGAAAAAAAATTGTATTTGCTATCACAATTTTAGAAATTGATAAAAGTTTCTTTAATGATTTAGAAAAAAAAATGTTTAATACTTTAAAATTTTAGAATTTATGTTAGTTAATTAAGCATTGAACCAGATAAAACAAACTAAAAAAATGCTAGCAATATTCTTTTATACACTCTCTAATTGATTGAAATATATTAAAAAATATAAAATTTGATAAGTCTTACATTATACTTAATGACTCTCTCATAATGTTGCAGTAATCCATAAGTTATAACTAACAAGTTTAGGTATGTTAAGAGAAGTGTATTAAATAATGTGTTTTTAGCACTCCTCAACTAAAAAGATTAACATTAAAGGGGTATTTTTTTATATATAAAATATAAATATATTTTTATTTTTGGACTCCTGTTAATAATGGACTGAGGATAATTGCTCATTTTTCTGACCCTGAGTTGGCCTTGATTGTTAGGACTAGGGTAGCAAAACGAGTCACAACCTATTAGTCAACCTGCTGCCTTGTCAAAAATTAGCCGACCAGACCAGGTATCCTAGCCCACCAACTTTTGCAGGCCAAATAGCGGGTTGGGATGAGTTGGTCTACTGGCCCATCAGTTGCCTTTTTTCTTTTTAATATTATTTATTTATTTATTATTTTTAATATAAATTTAATTAAGTTACTTTATATTTATTTTTGTGTATAATTTGTGATTTATTATGTAACAAATTTGTTGTGCATTTGACTTATTTTATCATATGTAATTTGATATTTGTTGTACAATAAATTTGTTAGAAGAGAAATAAACATTATTATAATAATTAATTACATATCTATTTTGTTATACAAAATATTTGAGATTTATTGTAAAACCACTATTAGAATATTATATGCAACTTTTCATACAGATATAAAAATTCACAAAAAAATGTTATTCTTACGAATTTTTTTTAAAATTATATTATTATAAACTATTTTAATTCTTAAAGTATTTAATATTATAAAAAAATAATTTTATTAAATAGTTTTATTTAAAAATATCATTAAATTAAAATTCATTATCATTAATTTATACATTTAATTAAATTAAATATTTAATTTAATAATATTCCGAGTTAAATTAAACTCATGGACTGGTTGAAGTAGCCGTGCAAGCTAAACAACTGCGTCCTAAATGTTCTGGCCTCGATCCACTTACCCAACACTACGTATATTACATTAGTTTTTTTTACTTGAGTATTGTGTCCAGGAAAATAGTAGTACTGATATATGAATTACTCAACTATTTATCTTTTTTACTTGTTACGTCAGTATCATCTATTATACATTTTTTTTTCCTTTTTTCTTTGTTTTAATAGATGAGAAGTGTCGATGAATATTTTTGATGGATCCAAATAGCCCCGTTTCATGGCACCGCGTAGTATGCTATCAGCCTATCACTAGCAGCGACACCAACTATACAGTACGACCTTGGAGATGTTGATAGTTCCCAACTGATAAAGTTTCTCTGTAAAGGAATTACAAAACCTTTGGCCAGATATTTGGGATTGACTACATGATTTGTACACAAGTACAGTACTCTAGTGACACCTAATTCAAATTAAGATAATTAAAAAGCCAATATGCTCGGGCATTATTCACAGTGACCTACCTACAATGTAGTAATTGCTGCAAGTCCGTGGCTCAATGGGGGGGGGCGGCGCTCAATGAGTAGTAAAACTCTTCTACAGTTCTACCAGATCAATTACTGTAGATATCAACCTCTTTTGACCTAGCTAGATTAGCATCTTTTAATTTTGTCTCCAAAAATTAAAACAAGACCATGTACAATAGTAGTTGGATGCATTTTCTAGAACCATCCAACGGGCAATGGGAATGAATCACTATTCTTCAGATTTAAGACATTTGACATTTTAGTTAGCTAGGATGAGATTATCCGTTTGGTTGCAAAGGAAAAAAAAAATATAAAAGATCTATGGAAAGATCTTGCTATCCGCATAAGAGCAAAGTATATATGTGTGCTTAATTCCTCTAGTGACTTGTGAGCATATATCAAAGTATCAACATCACTCAGATTGAGTATTTAGCATAGATATTGGAAAGATTTCAAGTTGGACAAGGCATTACAAGTTTAGTACTTTGAAGCATTTAATGATCCACGGAAGATTTACTTGAGATGCTTAGTTTGGTCAGAGAGATTCTTTGAAACCTATAACTCATCATCAAATCTAGGCAATACCCGCAAAATCTCCTAAAAAAACTGCCATAATTCTGCCTCGTGCTCCTTCAGTTTCGTGTAACATGGACCATTTACCACATTCAGGATAATAGAAAAGAAAAAAACAAAAGTTTCCTTCAAGAGGGAAGACGTGGGGAGAGGAAGCATCCAGTGAGATTCATATCATGCTAGGCCCTTGGACACATCATGCATGCCGTTGACATAGCAATAAGTGGTCTATAGACAGATATAACTCCAATTATTCTAATCTATCTCCAACTACTAGTACAGCTTTTTTGAACAACCAACTTCGCGAAAAACTAAAGGAGGCCTAAATTATTATATTATTTTCTTCAACCGATTCTAAGAATTGGCCTGCCTATTTAACAACATCTTCTGAGATGCTGATATGCATGCCAGCACTGTCTACTCCTTTCTGCCCATTCTTCCCTCCTTACCCACTTTAAGCCTTTCCTCATTTCTGAACCTGTCCATTCTTTTTAATTCTATTAAGACCCTTTTCAGCACTTCACTCTTTTAATCTATATATTATCTCCTCTCTTCTCAATATAGTCCAATTCCTTTTTATTTTTCAAAATAAAAATGTGGGCTCTATGTCTTGGAGCATTGGTTATTATAGTTATAACACATTGGGTTTATAGATGGAGAAATCCTAGTTGCAATGGAAAACTCCCACCAGGTTCAATGGGTTTCCCCCTTCTGGGTGAGACCCTTCAGTTTTTCTTCCCCAATACTTCTTCTGATATTCCTCCTTTCATCAAGCAGAGAATGAAAAGGTATATATATAAGCATTTTAATCTCAACTTAATTAAAAGCATTCTTTTAAGGAAGTAAACTTATTCATGATCATCCATTTTGATTCTTTCAGGTATGGACCAATCTTCAAGACCAACTTGGTTGGACGACCAGTTGTGGTATCAACAGACCCTGATCTTAATTACTTCATCTTCCAACAAGAGGGGCAAGTGTTCCAAAGCTGGTATCCAGAAACATTCACTGAGATCTTTGGACGACAAAATGTAGGCTCCTTACATGGGTTTATGTACAAGTACCTTAAGAACATGGTGCTGAATTGTTTGGTCCTGAAAGCCTCAAAAGGATGATCTCAGAAGTTGAACAAACAACGTACAGAACATTACAGCAGTTGTCATGCGAGGACAGTGTTGAATTGAAGGAAGCAACAGCAAGAGTAAAATTATTACACTAACTATTCTTGGTTTCATCTCTCTCTCTCTCTTTTATTTTTTCCATTCCATGTCTAACATGGTTTGCTCTCCCATGCAGATGATATTTGATTTAACAGCGAAAAAACTCATAAGTTATGATTCGTCCAAGTCCTCGGATAATTTGAGAGACAACTTCGTTGCATTTATACAAGGACTCATATCCTTCCCTCTGGACGTTCCAGGAACTGCTTATCACAAATGTCTGCAGGTAAATCCATCATTCACCAACACTAGTCATCATTTGTATACCTCACCTCATATCATATGTGAGTTCTTTCTTTTAAATTTAATAAGGTTGATCATTATTTCTTTTGAAGATGCCAAAGATTGAAAAAGAGCATTTGTTTGCTTTCTTTTGTGATCTTTTCCAGGGTAGGAAAAGGGCAATGAATATGCTGAAGAACATGCTGCAAGAAAGACGGGGAATGCATAAGAAAGAGCAAACAGATTTCTTTGACTATGTTATTGAAGAACTAAAGAAAGAGGGAACAATCCTCACTGAAGCGATCGCTCTGGACCTCATGTTTGTGCTCCTCTTTGCAAGCTTTGAAACCACTTCTCTCGCTATTACTTATGCTATTAAATTACTCTCGGACCATCCCTTAGTGCTCAAGCAATTACAAGTATGTCAAAAATTAATATTAAAGTCTTTGAACTACTTTTATGGCTTTTTCGTTTTGACTCTATTTATACTAAATAATAAGGCCCTCCGTGTTGTGCCTTTTAGGAAGAACATGAAGCCATCATCAAACGACGTGAAGATCCTAACTCCGGAGTCACGTGGAAAGAATACAAATCAATGACATTTACATTTCAGGTGGATCAATAATTTCTTCATATTTTTCTCTTTCTTCTAATGAGAGACAACATTGTGGGTTAATTCCTACGTATACATATCTCATTTAAAAGTCCGTGATGATTTGCAGGTCATAAATGAAACCGTGAGACTCGCAAATATAGTTCCAGGAATCTTCCGGAAGGCACTGAGGGAAATTAATTTTAAGGGTATGCCATATGTGATTGCTTATTTGCACAAATATCATTCATATTACAAAAAGACAACCCGTTTTTGATAGCTTTGATATTCAACTATGAACCAATTATTGGACTACTAAAGAAAACTGAATTTATTTGGTAGGATTCAAAATTAAATTTAAAATATAGTACAAAGTATATACAAGTCCAGCACACACACATACCTTCTAATTAAAGTAACGGAAAAGCGCAAAGTATGTGACAACATTACCTAATTTGATCAAACAATGAATGTATGCAGGATATACCATACCAAAAGGTTGGGCAGTTATGGTGTGTCCCCCGGCTGTACACTTAAATCCAGCAAAATATTACGATCCCCTTGCTTTCAACCCCTCGAGATGGGAGGTGCGTCAAAGTCTTGTTTCATTTTTTAAGAAAATGCTTTATGTTATTATTAATAATTATTAAGTGTAATTTTGTTTTTGTTATTAAATATTTTTTAAAAATGAAAGATTTATACATCTTATAAAGAGAATCCATGTTTTAGTAACTATCTTTTGATTTTCATTTTTATTAGATATTTTTATCCTCTCACACACTTCATCATTTTAAAAACTACTCACTTTTTGAAGTAAATTTTAAAAAAAATTACCTACTCTTATGTCCAATTGCCTATTTTCAAATCTTAATATTGTTTTTTTTTATATATAATTATCTTCTCTCTAAATCCTTCAAAAATAAATATAGAGATATCAAGTGTCTCTTTTTTCTACTAGGATTAAATAAATAAAAAAAAGTGTTCTTATAATTGGAGATCCATATTTAAAATAATTATAACTAATCCGAAGGCAAGCAACTTAGATTTTGGCTTTCTATCTCTCATTACACTATAGTAACCTGAAAAAAATGGGCTTTTAGGGAGTGGAACAAAGTGGTGCGAGCAAACATTTCATGGCTTTCGGCGGAGGCATGAGATTTTGTGTTGGAACGGACTTTACTAAGGTTCAAATGGCTATTTTTCTCCATAGCTTGGTAACAAAATACCGGTAAGATTTATGAAATTACAATGTCATGCATGTGAACTTAAATTGAGATGCAAAGTCTCTTTTTATAACATCTAAATATTTCAGGTGGCGACCCGTCAAAGGAGGAAACATCGTTCGAACTCCTGGTTTACAATTTCCAAATGGATTTTACGTCCAGATCATGGAGAAAGATCAGAGGGAGTAGGACCCAAAATATATCATTAAAAATTAGAAACCAAAGCTTTACAAAAAAGACTCATGATAGAAATTTAGGCTTGACATCTTCCCAATCCTTGGCGTTTTAAGAAACACAAGGCAACACAATTGTTATGGAAGCCAGAAAAGTAACCATAACAGTCTCTTACTCAGTTTTGATTAGGTCTCTTAAAAGTTGTGCTTTTATTAGATTTTCTTCTCAACATACTCTAAAGGATGAAGGTTTTGGAAAACATGGGTTAAAACCAAAACATGACGTGCCTTTGCAAAAAGTAAGTGACGGATGCCGGATGGGAAGGGAAGTTGTATTTTGTAACAAGTACTGTAAATGTTTCTTCCGAGTTGATATACAATTTGGTCATCAATAGTGGCAATCTTTGTTCCCATCTTTAAGGATTTCTTTGATAAACCTTAGTCCTTGGAGGATAAAATTGTTTATAAGTTGACACACCAAGGTATACTTGTTAGCAAGCTTGACATGTGACATACCAAAGCAACACCAAATTAGCTATTTCCTTTCTATAAAAATATATTTCACATAACATTTTGAATTATCAATATTTTTCTTTTCTCAATTGTTTTCATCTCCACCCATTAGAAAGTGACAAAAAAGGGAGAAGACTAGTACAGGAAACAAAAATAAATAAATAAAAAAAGCACAATTATGATATAAAGTTGATAGCGGCTAACAAATTGTTGTTCATTAGTATCCTAAATTTAAAAATATCTACATCAAATTATATTCAAGTTGTAATCTACTCACCCTTTGGCTCATCTAGTTAAATTTATTTGTGTTTGTCATTATTTTCTTGCCTCACTTTATCATGTTTTATCTTCATCAATTCATCTAGTCTCTTTGAACTCTCATGATTTTTTCAGTGTTTGTGATGTGGATGGTCAACATGTTACACATTATTTATATTTTTTTTTGTCCACGCTTGTGAATTTCTTTATAAACATAATGTTAATCAACAAAATAATCAGAGTTTCTTTCGAAATACTTGTACTTATAGTCAAATAGTCCTTTGTCTATGTTGAGCACTATAGTTATGGTACCTAAGTTCTTGCTTGTCATGATGTTTGTCATGAGTTTGGTGATGTCTCTCGTCCATTTTGAATTTGTTTATCCATGATGATATGTTCGTTAACATCTAAGATATCCTCCCACCAATCATATAATGGATCAAATAGACCTTCCTGGTGCAAAAGTCATAATAACACAAGCATTACAAATCAAGGGAGAGTATTTATTAAGTTATGTCAAGTTTACAAATTATAGTATACTAATAGCCATTGAATAAAAGTCATACTTGTAAAAAAAATTACCAAAAACGAACCAAACAACATAACCCAACTTAAGCATCCGTATTGAATATGGCACTTGAAGTCAAAAAACCCATAACATTTTTTGTCTATTCTTCCACCCAATTAAATCGAGGGACAGGAAAGAAATCTTATCAAATAATTAGTCAAGAGAAACGAATCAATATTAAACAAAGGTTATGATTAAGAAAGCAATATATAATTACTGATCTTCTGATACCATGCTTCAATCTTTAGGTGTTTAATACTTACGTTTATAACAAAATATATAAATCATTAAGAATAGAAAGATGGAAAAAAAAACTATCAATTTTCGAGAGTGGAAACTTGCCGAAAACTTGCCAAGAATAGAACATGAATAAAATAAGGGAAGATTCAGACGCTTGTGCATTTCTTATATTCACGGTGGTGACGGAGGAAGTAAAGCGATTTAATAATCAACACAAAAATTACGGTGAACTTACATAACTATTATTGGAAGCCATATAATTATTATTAGCGATATAATTATTTTGAAATTCGTTACTAACTAATTTTGATCCTTTTCGTAATGCTTTAATTTTAGTTTTTCAATTTTTAATTTTATAATTTTAGTCACTTAATTTTAAAAAAATCTATAATTTTGATTCTTTCGCTAAAATTTTATCTATTAACCATTAAAATTATAATGTTCATGATCTAATATTTAATAAATTATATGATAATTAATATTTAATAATATTTTGATTAAATTACACTTTAATACTTATTTTTTTTTTCATTTTATTTTACTATTTTTATGAAATAAAATAGAATTAAAAGTGAAAATACTTCCAATCAATTCTTGGCAGATAATGTCCTTATTTTTTGTAAAGCCAAACCAAGGGTGGTTAGGCAGGTCCTTGAGCGATTCTGTTCATGGCATGGCTTGCGAGTGAACTTAAATAAATAAAAGTTTTTAGCTTCTAGAGATGTCGCACATCAGAAGAAGTACGGAGAATAAATATCTTGGCTTCCACATGGTGCAGGGTTGGATCACACATAATGTTTTTGTTGATGTTGTGGATAAGATCCAAGCTAGAGTCGCTTCTTGGCGGGGGGAAACTGCTTAATCGGCCAGGTAGAGTCACTCTGATGAATTCGGTGTTGGCCTCGATTCCTACTTATAGTATGCAGACTCAATGGTTGCTTGGGGACTATTTCTAGGCACCGGAACCATGGTGGCTAGGGTGAAGCTCTCTTCTTCTAGGTAAGTCGATTTGGATTTACTTAATGGATATCACAAACTTAAAACTTTGGCTCCAGGTTCTGTGTGCTAAATATCTTGGGCTAGACGTCGTGTCCCTATCACAAACTCAGACTTGGTAATGGGACTAGTGGCTTTTAGTTTGATGAGTGATCTCAGCATCTCAACTTTCTTTCAATTCCAATAATTGGATTTCATAATTTTTATATAGATAAATTTATTATTATAACTTTTTCATCTTTAATTAGTTAAAAATTATTTGAAAATCGTGTAACAAAATCAAAAATATCAATTTTTAAAAAGACCATTTAACATATAAATGAACAAAGTAAATTTTCAAAATAAGATAAAAAAAATAAATATATAATTTAACCTAAAATATAATATTATTATCAATTAAGCCAATATTTTAATTTGACTTTAAAATAAATTATTTATTGGTATGAGGTATCTTAAATATTTATCAAATTAACTAAGACTTTGGAAAAAAATTATGTTCATGTCTTTTTGATATTTAAAAGATTTACTGTTTTACTTGATATCGTAATATTAAATTACATAAATTAATATCACGTGAATCTTTTGAAAATTAAATTAAATCGATTTTATTAAGAAAAATTAAAGTTAAAAGAGTGAAAAGGATAGATTTTAAATTTCATTATTTTTTTTATATTTGCAATATTTATCATCTTGTTTTTGAATAAATTATTAATTTGATTCCAAAGAATCATTATCTCCAAATTAATTTTTAAAATATTAGAAATCATATATATAATTTTTCAAATATTGAAAAGTTCTTTAAATTAGTCCCTCAATATTAATAAAATTATATTATAATTCAAAGAAAAAAAATGATAAATATTAAATTAGTCCTTCAAATTTAGGGTTAATTTATTTTTGGTCTCCTTAAATTTAAAAGTTTTATTTTTAGTTCCTATAATTTTAAAAAATATTGTTTTAGTCCTTTGGTCCACTAATAATATATCTAAAAGTGATAAATTAAGACAATTATACAGCATCAATTGAATTTATTGTGACATTTTCATTAACAGATAAATAGTACATAGATTTTATACAATAATATTTGACAGATTTTTTAACAAAATTTGAGTATAAAAACTAAAATAAGATTTTTTTTTAAATACAAAGACTAAAAATATCAATTTTAAATTTGAAGAAGTAAGAATAAATTTATCTTAAAATTTGAAAGACTAAAAATATATTTAAGTATTTTAAAAATTATTAATAATTTTGCTAAAATTAACTATATATCTTAGAAAAAATTCTTTTCATTATTATCTCTACAAAACATTTTTAAAATTATATATTAAGATAAAAAAAAATATAGTTATTTAAGTAAAATAAAATCAAATACAAGGTTTAAGATATTATTAAATAGATGTAGTTAATGTAATATTTTTTATAAATATTAAATAAAATAGTATTTTATTATATAGTATTAATTATATATATTAAAGATAATATACAAGTACTAAGGTATTAATTAATTGTTGTTATTAATATAATATTTTAATAATATCTGAATAAACTAGTATTTTATGATAAAGTATTCTTTGTTATATTTAATTAATGTAACGTTACAATATGTATATTAAATATATAATTTAAAAAAATATTTATATATATATTATTAAATAAAATATTATTATTAAAAAATTTAATACTTATACATATATAACTTAATTTATATTATATATATATATATATATATATATTTATTTATTTATTGATGTATATAAAAAAAAATTATGCAAATGTAATTTATTCTATAGTTTTTATATATTTTACAATGTTTTAATAAAGTGAATGAATAAATTAAAAATATTTTAAAATATTTTTTTTGATAAATAGTTAAATTAAAAGTATATTTTTATGAATAATTAAATTAAAAGTATTTTTAAAATTTTATAATAATTGTTTTTTTAACAATGTTTAGTTAAAAATTTATAATATAATATTTTTATTTCTAATAAATAAGAGTATAAATATAGTAATTCACATTAATAATATTAAATTAAATAAATTAAATTGTATATTTTAACACAAGTGAAAAAAACAATGCAATACTCTTATCTCTCAATAGATGGTAACATAATTTAAATATTATGTCAACTTGTACAATAATTATTTTAAAAATTGTGTCTAATATAATTTTTTTAATTGATTGGTATAAAAATCTTTGCATTAGTCATACATTAAAAAAAAATTAACCAATAGGCATTATTGGTTATATATTTGTTATTATTACCGGTAGAAAGATAAGTATTATCGTGTTTGTAATTTTAATTTTTTGGAAATATGTCATGAAATCAAACGAAAGAATGAAAAGAAGAAGAAATTTGAATAGAAAATGAGTAGAGAGAATTAACGTGCAGTTATATTATAAGAGTTAATCATCCATATATTGTCCGTGTAAAGTTTTTTTACACTGGCAACCAATCATATTTTTTTAAATTATTTTATTTTATTTTTATTTTATTAAATAAGCAATTGGCATGACACTATTAAGAAATATAATTAGTTGTCAGTGTAAAAAACTTTACATTAACAATGTATAAGTGATTAACTCATATTATAATATATATATAACAGTTAAAAGATAAAATTTGGTAAAATAATATTATATATATATATTATAGGGTATTGCTTTTTTTATTTTTGTTGTTACTGTTTTAGATTATGGATATTATAATTTTTTAATTAATATTTTTTTTTATAATTATTGAAATAAGTCATTTGTGTTAGTGAAGCACATGCATGTTAAGATACAAGTAGTTATGTAATTTGTTGTTGTTCAATTATAATTATATTATAAGAGTTGTTACGGTACGTTTTGGTATAATCAAATTTTAAAACTAATAAAAATGATTTAAAGTGTTTTTTTTTTTACTTTTACTTTTTTTCCCTCTACATTAAGTGATATGTTATTGACAAATAGATAATTTAAGTAATTAATTTACTTT